TGTTCCCTCCTGACAATATGTCCAAAGTAGGGGAGACGAAGCTTAGCTGAATACTATTCCAGTTTATGCATGCATGGTATTTATCTATCCATCGACATCTGTTGGTGGACACTTGGACTGTTTCCATATTTGGCTATTATGAATAGTGCTGCAACTAACCTGGGTGTCCAAGAATCTCTTTGTGGTCCTGCTCTCCACTCTCACATCCATTCCTATGTATGGGTACATATAGAGGAATGAATGTGCTGGGTCATACGGTGAGTCTATATTTAACTTCTTGAGTTGCCAGGTTTTAAATGATGGTATCCTACAGTGTTTACAGGACAGGCTGGCATCTGATCTGGCACAGAGCAGGAAATGGGACACCCTTGGAAGAAGGGTGTTCTGCCTTCTGCCCACAGATCCCCCAAAATGCCCTACTCCAGCCAGTCTGGCCCAGAAACCCCCAAGTTGAGACTCCACAGCCAGAAGTAATCAAGATCACAGGGTTCCACTTCGTTGTGGAGTCAGGGTCTCTGGAGCCTGCCTTGACTCTGAGGGCAAAACAGAGCACAGACTTGGGTGTTACATTGGTGGCCACTGACTGGTCCCCTTCAACTCTCCCAGGTTCTGCCAACACCATCCAGAGAGTAGACTCAGCACATTCATGAGGCAGGAGAGCTGGCAGGAGCAACAGGAGGCCAAGCAAGAGCTCACACCTTCCCCGAGGGAGGGTGATCATATCCTCTAAGAAAACCTTTCCCTGTGGGTTGTGGGGCCATGTCAGCTGTGGAGAATCCAAAGCATGGAGAACAAGGCTGAGCCATGAATAGAAGCAGACTGTGACATACTCTACATTGTGGGGAAGCCTCACAACAACCATGCGTGTGAGGGAAGCCAGGCCAAGAGCAGATGCCGAGGACTCCGGTTACACAGAGCCCTCGAGAACACAGCAGTCCACTCCACAGGGACGGAAGGTGGTAGCGGCTGCCTGGGGAGGGGCTTGAAAAGGAGTCCAGGGATGGGGGAGTGCCAAAGGGAGCAGGACACCTTTTTGGGGTGATTGGCATATTCACCAACTTAATTGTGATGATGGTTTTACAGATGTATGTTATTTATGAAATGTATCCAATTGTTACCTTTAAATATGTGCCGTTCTTTGTTTGACAATTATAACACAATAGAGTAGGAAAGGGAAGGGGAGGAAAAGAAGACAGGAAAGAGAGAGGGGAGCAGGGGGTAGGAGGGAGGCAGAAAGGAAGACAAAAGAATCTTCTAAGAATCAGTGGGCCATGGGGAGTGCTGGCTGGCATGGCTTCTGGAAGGTGCTGGGAACTGAGCTCCCACCCCAAGAGGACTGAGGTCCCACTAAGTACCCGCCTAAGGGAGCTCACACTGCAGAGGGGGCAGTGAGGGTCTGGTGGTCAAGGAGGACTTGAGGAGTGAGCCTGGGGAGGGGGATGGGACGGCCACTTGGAGAAAGTGAGTGCAGAGCTGAAGGAAGGAGCTGAGTGCATTTGAGAAACAAGGAGGTGGAGGTAGGCAGGGCAGGACACAAGAGGCTCTCTAAGGGGACCCCATCTCTGAGTTCTGTAGTCTCTGGCTACTAGGAGGGAGGCAGTGAGGAGCTCTGCTGACATCCATGGGCTGTCAAGGTGTCAGAGGAAATGGTTAGAAATATGACCATTCTACTGATGGGGCACTGTGGGTCAATGCGCTGGACTGCAAGGTTGGTTTGAATCACAAGGTTGGCAATTCAAGCTCACCAGTCACTCCTTGGGAACTCTATACAGGGTCACTATGAGTCAGAACCGAATCAATGGCAGTTAACAGCAACAACTGATGTTTGGCTGCCAAGACCTTCTGGAGGACTATAGGGTCGGAAACAGTGAGTGTGATGAACATGAGTGTGTGTGTGGTGTACGTGATGTTGTTTTTAAGTTCTGTCGAGTTGGTTCTGACCCATAGTGACCCTGTATAGGATTTCCAAGGAGCGGCCTGGTGAGTTTGAACCACCGACCTTATGGTTCAAACTGACTTTGCAGTCCAGTGCATTAACCCACAGCACCACACCAGGACTACTGTGTATGCGAGAAAAAAGAGAATCAAATCCATTCCTAGATCTGGGCTCCACCCCAGCCATCACGTGGAGAACCGCACATTCCCACCATTCTTCTTCACTGGAAGGGTTGGATGAGGATGTGACTGTGAACTGCCAGCTGCTACAGGCCCACCTGAGATGTGGTTACCCTGACTCTTAGGCCCTCACAGGGACATCACTGGAGGTGACAGTGGTCTCCAATGGGGCTAGGGTGCCACAGGACAATTGCCAGGGCTGACCACCAGCCAGGGAGCCACACTGGTGCTTTCCCCTGAAGAAGAGTTCTTGTCCTTTAAAAATAAGCAAGTACACAGGCACTCTTAAACGAACACACCCACAGGAAGAAGTCAGGCTAAGAATGGCCAGATTCCCCGGCAGGTCTGAGTCGTGTCCTGGCAGGTGACTGAGAGGGCTGAGGGCTGTTCACGAGCTAAGGCCGTGTCACCATCTGGCTCTGGTGGGGCAGCCCTCCTCCATGAGCACCATTTGTGAAGGTAGTGAGTCTTGGTTTCCCAGGATTCACAGTGACATCAGCTCCGGCCAGCTGACACTGAGCAGCCCCCCCGTACAAGGCCCCACTTTGATACTCATAGCCTAGTATGTTGTGCGTTACCTGTTTGAACTGCTTGTAGATGACCTTTTGGACTTGGTCTGAAGGCTGCACCTTGCCGGCAAGCAGGGATGACAGCATGTTCCCGAGAGTGACCATCCCCAGGATCACCCTGGAAGGAGGCAGAGGGTGGAGGTCAGCGGTCAGTGCATGCTCCTCATTTCTTCCTCAAACTCAGAGCTGCCTTTAGTGCCAGAGAATCAGCACTTGGGACTAAACACTGAATGCCTCGTAGAATTCAACAAAAACTTGTCTGCAACGTTGAGGGAACACAGCATCGAGTGACTGATGCACACAAACACTTCTACACAGTAAGGGCTGACCTTTTCATTCTGAAAACTTTCTGAGAGAAGTTTGAGACAGGGTGACCAGGGCTATGGGAAGTTTGGCCACCTGGGTGTGCCTGACAGGAATCCCCCGAGGACCCATCCTCAGCCAGATGTTGGTTGTTGTTGTTGTGGGTTAAATGCTCCCCGATACCAAATAATATGTAGAAGTCCACCCCCCTGTGCCTTGTTTGGAGATGAGGGGTTTTCTTTTGCTATTGGTTAATTAATTTATTAATGAATGAGGTTACAGTGGAGTAAGGAGGAGTCTTGGTGTGGCACTGTAGGATAAGCACTGGACCACAAGGTCGACAGTTCAAACTCATCAGCTGCTCCTTGGAAATCCTACACAGGGTCTCAATGAGTTGGAACTGATTTGATGTCACTTAACAATAATAGTAGTGGAGTAGGGTGGGTTCTAATCCAATCCCTTCTGAGCAGCACCTTAGGTAAGGGGAGAGCAGACGCAGAGAGACACTCAGGGGACGACAAACCCCATGCCAAGATACATCTACATGCAAAAGAGCCCTAATAGTACAATGGTTAAGTTCTCTGCTAACCAAAAGGTTGGTCATTCAAATCCACGCAGCGGCTCTGAGAGAGAGACTTGGTGACCTGCTTCTGTAAAGATTTTGTGCTGTTGTTATTGTTAAGTGCCACTAAGTAGGTTCTGACTTCTGATTCATGATGATGTCATTAGGATTTCTGAACTGTCAATCTTTTCGAGAGCAGAAAGTCTCATCTTTCTCTCACGGAGGCTTGAACTGTCAACCTTGTGGTTCACAGTCCTATGCTTATCCTAGATTGTTGTTGTTGTTGCTAAGTGCCATTAAGTCGGTTCCAACCCATAGCAACACTGGTTCCAAGGTTTCCAAGGAGTGGCTGGTGGGTTTGAACTGCTGACCTTGTGGTCCAGTACAGTACCACACCAGGACTCCACAAGATTGGAAGGGGATAAGAGATGAACCTGTTTTGGGGGCTCCATTAAGTTCTTCGTGTTCAGTACTGTTGAGTCGGTTCTGACTCATAGAAGCAGCTAGTGGGTTTGAGCCACTGACCTTGTGGTTAGCAGTCCAGCGCTTTTCCTACAACACTACGCTAGGACTGCTTATCCTAGATGACAGCCTAGAAAACCCTGTGGGACAGTTCCATTCTGTCACTTGAGTTTGCCATGAGTTAAAAATCAGCTCCACAGGACCTAGTAACACCACCAGAAGCTGAGACAAGAAAGGAGCTTTCCAGAGAGTAGACGTCCAGGCTCCAGAACCGTGAGACAAGACATTCCTGTTCTAAAGTTACGCCGTTTGTGGAACCTGCGAGACTAAGGCAGGTCTCGCTAACCACCTTCCGAAGTAAAGGCCAAAGACAGCTAGTGTGCATCAGAAATGGGGGTGGGGCATGGACACTTAGGCAATATGCCAGCCCATGGTTCCAGCCAGGCCCAGGGAAAATACTTCCAGTGGGCGCACTAATACTGTGGACATCATAAGCAAAGTGGCCAAGGGTCAGATGGCTGTCCTGCCCAGTACCTCCCAGGAGGGGTTGGAGGAGGAGTGTTGGAGGGCAGAGTGTCTAAATGAGGGGTCGGGGGCAGCTGAGACTGACCCTGTCTCATCAACCACGGGTGCCTGGTCGAAGCCCTTCTCCCGGAGGATCTCAATGGTGTGCTCGCAGGTGACCGTGGGCAGCACGGTCAGCGGGGCAGACAGGCTCAGCTCCTGGACTCTGAGGTGCCACCACCTGAGGGGAGAGCAGGCATAGTGGCTCTGTGAGTCAGGGATGTTCCGCCCAAGGTCCAGGTGACCCCAACTGAGGTCAGTATCACCCAAAAGGGGCCATGGGGAGCATCCACCAAGACTGCACTCCCTGCCCTGTCCCAACCAGGCACGGACAGGCCCCAGGGAGGCCCTGCTGGCTATGGGAGGCAGTTCTGCCAGGATCAGCCTTGCTGCCAAGAGGTCCTTACCATGGCTTCTTCACCACGTCTTCCTCCTTCATGAAGCCCTTCTGCATCATCCACCGGTCACTCAAGAACTTGGACCTGAAACCCCAAGGGCCAGTCTGAGGCTCCGGCCCTAACCATTACCTCTACCCCCACACCTTCCCACCAGCAATGCAGCCATAATTGCCATGCTCAGGGAGGGCCCAGCACTGCCTCCCACAGCCCCAGGACATGTGGGACCCAGGCTCCGAGGAGAAACTTAGGGGCCAGGCTTCAGAAATCTGGCTGTGAACGCTGGACTGCTGGGACATCAGGTCAGTCAAGAAACATGTGTGGGGTACAGGTGTGAATTTGGGCGTACGTGTCTGGGGCAGAACTAGCTCAGAGCTCAGAAGGTCGTCCTCTCTGGAACCTCTATGATCAGGCTCCTCTGGGGTCCCCTGTGGTCTCCCTTCCCAACCAGAATGAACCAGAGTGTGCTCCTGCAGTTACCAGGAACCTGCCTTACAATGACACACCTGCCAACACACACCCACACGTTCAAACACGCACACACTCACACATGCATACTCTCAGGTGCTCATACACATCCATGTGCACTCATGATTCACACACACACACTCACATGCTCCTTCACACAACAAACTCACACACAGCAGGCAGCCCAGAGTGGACAGAGATAGGCCTTTTCACCCTCAGCTGGTAGAGGGGGTGAGCCCTGCTCAGACCCTTGGCAGGACACCCAGACATGATTCATTAACACCCAGATCCAACTCTGAGCTCCCACAGCCATGCCTGGCACCACTCAGGGCAGCTGAGCTCATGGCAAATATGTACAGCCTGCGGCTCCAGGGTAATGAGAGGCACCGTGCACCACCAGGGCCAAGGTTTCTAGATATCTCGTAGCAGGGGAGGGGAGCGTCAGTCCTGGAGAGGAGGCATAGCTGGAGGTTTCCTATGGTCACAGGGGAGCCAGCTCAGTCTGTGGATCCAGACACAACACGCACACACACTCAGAAAACCAGAGCTGAGGGAGGGCCCTTACAGGCTGCTGGTCCAACAATTCATGGCCCAAGAAACCCAAGTCTGAAGGGGTTTCCGAGTCACACTGTGCCAGGTCTGGCAGATTGGGGCAGCCAGCTCCAGCCAGGGCTCTCTCCCTGGTCCAGGCCCACTGAGAGCCAGCAAATGTGCAAGAATGGAGCAGACGGGAAGAGCCTGGGGCAGGAGGGAGGTACAGCCACCTGCAGAAAGAGCTCCATGGTCAGGGGAGGTCTGTTACTATGAGCATCTGGACTTGGACTTTTAAATAAGCCTAGAAGATGGGGACCACACTACCAAGGAAGCCTAGGTTTCTGCAGCAAGAATCATGGCAGCCCCTAGCTTCCTCCTGAGGCCAGATGAGGCACAGTGGGGGCAGTGAGAGCATTTAAGCGTTAACAAAAAAAGAACAGATGATAGCTCACATGTAGTTCCTCACAGAGTCGGGCAGGATGACCACACAGCGCTGGCCTTCCCGTAGCTCCTTGGCGGCCTTCACGGCGATGGACATGGTACTGCCTGAACTGCCACCTGTGAGACACACGGCCTTCATGACAGCCCTGAGATGCTCATGTGTGCAGCTGTGTAAAATGCACATGTGTGTTGTGTGCATGAACGTATGCACATTCATCCAGACTCCGGAAGGATCTGCTAACTAGGACTGCCGCTGTGGGGGCCAGGAGGCATTGTGCCAGAGAGGACCGTTGGGGTACCAAACAAAGCTGGCTCTGTGTTTGCTACTTCAGAACATAGCTCTCATGGACAATGAAACCCAGTTGTTACATAAAGTATGAGGACATAAGACACATTAAGCATAGCTCCCTTGTAATCCAGAAGGAGGGGTGTTCCTTGCTCCTCTCTGCTCTCTGTGGCTGCCTGTCTGTCACCAGTGGTGACCCACTAACCCCACACAGCTGCAACAAGGACATGACGTGATGGAGGGTCCAGAGTCCAGGTGTACCCTTGGTGCATGCATCCTGGTTGCCTCACGTGTGACGGTGTCTCTTCTGTGTGTACTGGGACTAGAACAGGCAGAGAGTGGGCACCCAACTATGTCCTCTGCCCCCGACCCTGCACAGCTACTCACCACAGAGGAGCCCCTCCTGGGCAATCAGCATGCGGGCAAAGGCAAAGGACTCCTCGTCATTGCTTTTGAACCATTTATCCACCACCTGTAGGTGACACCAGATTGAGCACCAGTCAGCATGGAGGGGCTGCCTGGTGCATAGTGACACCTTCATGGGGTAACCTCTTGTCTAGGGACAAGGACCTAGACTCACCCTACAATCCAGGACTCAAGTCTACCAAACTGGAACTTCTCTAATGGATTTTGTACAGAGCAGCTAAAACAACCTCTTTTAGCTCCTGCTACACAGCTATAGTGGTCTCTGAAGACTCATGATTCTGCACTAGGTCCCTCAGACCAAAGACACGCTTCAGAGTCCACCAAAAGCTGAACTGAGTCCCTCTAATCCCTGTACCATAAGGTTTTCACTGGCCAACCTTTTATTTTTTTTTAAAAGGGGGGGGAAAAAAAGATAAAAATGGATGTCAGATCAAGAGATAGAACAGCTGAAGACTCTAGACTCATGGAAAGAGAAAGACTGTGTGCTGGTGGCCAGGAAGCAGGCTTGCAGAATATGTCCTTTGGTTGTTTAAATGATTATATGTTCCTGGGTGTTTTGTGTACACCACCACCACCAACAACAACAACAAAAAACAGACGGAATAGAAGCAAATATTGTTGAATGGTGATGCATGGAGGAGCTTGTAATAATTGCAATGATATGAAATACGATAGGATAAGTGCAAAACTGATGTTCTCCCATTTAAACTATCACTCAATTCACAATAAAAGAAAAAGACAGAGACTCTGAAACTTGCTCTTGAATGCAGAATAGCTAAAGCAGATGAAAGAGATGTTGAAGCAAAAGTGTTGAACAGAAGATTCCAAAGGGCAGCTCGAAAAGACATAGTAAAGCATTATAATGAAAAGTGCAAAGACCCTGAGTTAGAAAACCAAAAATGATCAGCATTTCTCAAGCTGAAAGAACTGAAAAAAAAAAAGTCAAGCTCGAGTTTCAATATTGAAAGATTCTACGAGCAAACTATAGAAGGCACAGGAAACATCAAAGGATGGATGCTCTAAGCCATTTCAGCAGTTAGCATATAATCAAGAACTGATGGTACCGAAGGGATTCAAGCTGCACTGAAGGGATGAGTGAAAAATAATGCTCTCGAAATTGACAGAATACCAATTGAAATGTTTTAACAAACGTATGCAATGTTGGAAGTATCATATCAAGAAACTTGGAAGACAGCTACCTGCTCAAATGACTAGATTGTAAGAGATCTTTATTTGTTTCCATTCCAAAGAAAGGTGATCCGATGGAATGTGGAAATTTTTAAACAATATCATTAGTATCACACATAAGTAAAATTTTGCTAAAGATACTACAAAAACAATTGCAGCATTTTGTTGACAGTAACTGCCAGAAATTCAAACCAGATTCAGAAGAGGACGTGGAGCAAGGGTTATCATTGCTGGTATCAGATGGATTCTGGCTGAAAGCAGGGAATGCTAGAATGATGTTTGCCTGTGTTTTATTGACTATGCTAGGGCATTTGGCTGAGGAATAATAACACACTATGGGAATTCCAGAAAATTGAATTGTATTTATGCAGAACTTGTAAATAGACCAGAGGCAATTGTTCAAACAGAATAAGGAGAGATACAGTGTAGTTTAAAATCAGGAAAGGTGTGTGTCAGGATTGTATCCTTTCACCATACTTATTAGGTCTGTATGCTGAGGAGATAATCCAAGAAGCTGGACTATATGAAGAAGACCACAGCATCATAATGGGAGAAAACCGGACCAATAAGCAATATAATAAATAGAGAAAATAATGAAGTTGTCAAGGATTTCATTTTACGTGAATCCACAATGAACATTTATGGAAGTAGCAGTCAAGAAAATAAAGTAAGTATTGCATGTGACAAATCTGGTACAAATGATCTCTTCACAGTGTTGAGAAGGGCATCATGTTTGGTAAAGTAAGGGTCAGTTTAAAAGAGTAAGACCCTCAATGAGATGACACAGTGGCTGTAACAATGGGCTGAAATATAGCCACAGTTGTGAGGATCGTGTAGAGCTGGGCAATGTTTCATTCAGCCAATAGGAGTCAGAACTGCCTCAACAGTATTTAACAACAATGGTTAACCCTTTACCTGTAAATACCACCTTAGTTAACGTGAAGTTATACTGCAGTAGGATGGGTCCTAATTCAATGTGTGGTGAGCTTATTTAAAGAAGGAGAAGGAGGGAAAGGAAGAAGAGACAGAGGGAAGACAGTTATGGGAATTTGGAGTGATGTGTATACAAACCAAGGAATGCCAAGGTTTGCCAGCAAATCAGCATTGGGAAACGTAGGACCCTGGGACCATCAAGGGAGAAGAGCACATGTGGAATGTGGGACCCTATCCAGAGAAGCAGCAACACCTGAGATGGAAGCAGAGACGAGCTCATGGAGAGAAGGAGCAGCTGAGGACTCCAGACTCATGGAAAGAAAAAGGCTGTGTGCTGGTGGCCAGGAGACAGACTTGCAGACTGTGTCCTTTGGTTGTTTAAATGATTATATATTCCTGAGTGCTTTTGTGTACATCGAAAAAAAAAAAAAAACCCAAAAAACAAAAACAGAGGGTATAGAAGCAAATACTGTTGAATGATGATGCACGGAGGGGATTATAATCATTGCAATGAAACAATGAGTGTAAAACCAATGTTCTCCTATGTAAACTACTGCTCAGTTCACAATAAAAAAAACATTTAAAAAAAAAGTAAGCACTGGAAGAGACAAGGAAGGACCTTCCCCTAGTGTCTTCAGAGAGCCTGGTTCTATTGGCAGCCTGATTTTTATACAAGATCACAAAACTCTTGTTGTTTTCAGCCACCTACTTGGTGGTAATTTGCTACGGCAGCCCAAGGAAACTAATTTAGGATTCTTTAAAGAGAGCAGAATTTCCTGGAGTTCTGGATTCCCCTGTGTTTGCCTTGTGGTCAACTGTACCCCAGGCCCCCCACAGCTGCCTTCCTCTGTAGGTGTCAAGTGCCACATGTGACTGAAGGCCAAGTCACGTCACTGACCTTCTTGGGTTTCTGCCCCATGAGGCCAGGACACGTACTTGGATATGCTGCCACATTTTACACTCTCACCCCTAAGACGTGCATTCTCTCTGCTCAAAGCAGGGGCAGCTGTTTGATTTCCCATTCATTAGAGAGCATGCTAAGGAGCTACCCCCAGAATGGGGTTGGATGCCCAGCCCACACCCACCGTCCGGTCCAACACAGTCGGCAGGAAGTCGTAGCCAATGCCCTCCACTTCATAGGCCGTCTGATCCGTCTGGTTGAGTTCCATCGGCTCGGCGAGAATGGAACCCTCAGGATCCACTCCGATGATCTGCATAGAGTGGTGCATTAGGTCTCACACCGGCCAGTCCCATCTGGACACCCCTGATCTTGAGCAGGGTACCCACCCCACATTGACCTGCACCGACTGTGGGCCTTAACCTGGGCTTTGGGGGCAAGACCAGAAACCAGGAAAGCAGACCAAGGTGTGCAGAGACCACAAAGGAAGTAAATGTCATGGCCAGAGCAGAACACAGGGCACTCTGAGGAAACTAGCCCCAGGAGCAGCTCAGGGCATCCCAGGAGTAGCCCAGACAAAGACAGTGCTGAAGAGTGGCCTCATCCTAGAAGGCAGGAGAGATAGTCCAGGGAGAAAAGGGCACTGGGTGCCACAAGCTGGATCTCTACCTAATCTCCTCCCCAGACTCTTCTTAGCACCATGTCCTGGGCACCCATCCACGAATCACTTAAACCCTAGTCACTGCCACACCTTGACGCATACTGGGAAATACTGAGCAGGAGCTGAACTCAGTATGGAATGCTCTATAATGATTCTCAGAGTCTTCTTCCCAGCACAGGAAAACCCTCTAGGACACGAGCTGGAGTGGCCCCAGCCCCAGCTCAGTAGCTAACTGTGTCAAGGATGGCTGGTCCCCAAGTATCTTCAGTCACAGACATAACTACCTGGGACCATGTGCCAGATTAAGACAGTTACACTGCTGTGTACATAGAGATTAGGAATGAGAATGCTCAGTTCTATAAAGTCAGTCTGGGGTGTGACATCAGGGAACACGGGGATGATACTCCAATGGTGAATCAAGTCACAGGTAAGACAAGGCAGAGAGCCAGGCCCAGAGCTCCAAACTATGTAGAAGCAGGGTGACAGGTGACCCAGTGTGCCTTCCTCAACCCCAGTGACCGCAGCAGTTCACTCACCTTGCAGCCTGGACACTTCTCCTTGAGCTTCCTGGCAATGCCCGTAATGGTGCCACCTGTGCCAGCGGAGGCCACCAGCATGTCCACTTTCCCTGTGGGGGGAGAAGGCAGAATCAGGATCAGCAGGGGCACATACTCGGGCCATAGTATGTCCAGCCCACACTCTCCTAAAACATGAAGCTGAGGGAATCAAGTCAGCCACAAAAGACAAATATAAAATGTCTAGAACAAACATATTGTCAGGAGGGAGCAGTCACTGGATAAAGATATCATGTTTGGTAAGGTGGAGGGTTGAAGAAAATGAGGAAAACCCCCCAACGAGATGGACTGGCCAAGTGGCAGTATCGATGGACTCAAGTGTGGCAACAATAGTGAGGTTGGCCCAGGATCGGGCAATGTTTCATTCTGCTGTGCATAGGGTTGCTATCGACTCGATGGCACCTAATAACAACAACAGAACAAACAAATCCAAAGAGACGAAAGTTTATTAGTAAGAACCTGGGGCTAAGGGCTAAGTAGGAGATGCTACTGTCTAGGAGGCACTGAGTTACTGTTTGTTGTTATAGTTGTTGACTCATAGCAACCCTGTTTCGGGTTTCCGAGAAGCAGCTGGTGGGTTTGAACCACCATTCTTGTGGTTCAGTCCAGTGTCTATCCTATAGTGCCACACCTATAGGAATTTGAATCACCACTGTTGTTGTTAAGTTGATATCGAGTCAGTTCCGACCCATAGCGACCCTGTATAGGGTTTCCAAGGGGCTGGTAGGTTTGAACCACCACATTGTGGTTCAAACTGACCTTACGGTCCAGCACATTATCTATCCTACAGCACCACACCAGGACTCCATGAATTACTGTTGTTGTTGTTGTTAAGTGTCGTCGAGTCTATTCCGACCCATAGCGACCCTGTGTAGGGTTTCCAAGGAGCAGCTGGTGAGCTTGAACCACTGACCTTGCAGTTCAAACGAATTTGCATTCTGACGCATTAGCCTGTTAGGGGTGCTGAAACAGACATTTGTGGTGGTGGTTGTGTGCCACCGAGTCACTTCTGACTCATAGCAAACCTGAATAGGGTTTCCGAAGCTGTAAATCATTATGGGAGCAGAAAGCCTCATCTTTATCCTGGAAAACAACTGGTAGATTCGACCTACATATCTTGCAGTCAGTAGGCCAGCTTGCAATTCACTATATTACCAGGGCTTCCTGAAATAGACATTAAACAACCTTAAAAAAATTAGCAAAGAATACCACCATCTTCCTCAGTGCTTTTGTTGTTGCTGTTGTTAAGTGCCGTCGAGTCGGTTCAGAGTCATAGCAACTCTGTTTGAGCCACCAACTTTGATGTTTGTAGTCCAGTGCTTATCCAAAATCGTTCAAGTCTTTCTTAAATGGCAGATGACTACTGAGGTCCCTATTTGGTTGTAATCCCTATAGAGAGTCCAGAAGGCCAGACAAGGACAGAGGGAGACTCCTCACTGTGTACCTCCTGACCCTTTTTGGTTTCTGGATGGGATGAACACATAAATTGAATTCAATAAAATAGAACAAACAACTTGGCTTCAGTTCAGGTATTATCCACAGTGCTCTAACATTATGTGTGGTTATGTTATGTGCCCGTGGGAAGACAAGTCTAAGCGTGGTGAGGGGATGCATGAGGCCAAGCAGAATGGCACGCAGAATGAGGCTAAGGTGTAGTCTGTGCCAAATGAGAGAATGTTCACCCATAAAACCTGAGCTAGTCAGCGCTGCCTGGCTGGTGGGCATGGATTGAGTTTTTAAGTCAACCAGGTTCTGCCAAGGAAGGCAGGGCTCCAACCTGGGCAGTCGAGTCCCTCCTCCTTAGATCTCCCAGGAAAATAGCACCACCAACCCCGACAAAGCCTGGCATAGACACTCAGAAAATTCCCAAGGAGCCTCATGCCCACACAGAAGGCAAGCTCTGGACATGAGAAAAATTAGATACTGAATTCAGTGTCCAAGTTGGGAATTGATCCCAAATGCCATTCAGTGGAAGCCCTGCTGTGAGCTGGGCTCTGTCCTCACACTCAGAAACACCAACCAGTCTGGGGAGGAGACTGCTGTATAGTTTAAACAGAACCACAAGATGTCTGGTGTTACAGGTGAGGCATGGGCACAAACAAGGGAGGAAACAACTCTTCAGAAATGCTCCAGAAAGTATTTCACAGAGGGAACATTTGAAATGGTTTTTTT